CTATCCTCCCTGTATGGCCGCGTTACTAATTTGCTACACTGTTTAATAACAAATTGTTGGGGAAATCATATGTATCGATTTGACCAATCGAGAGATTAAGAGAATGTTTTCACTCCTCCCCCCCCCCTCCTATGGGCTGCGTTCATATTTTGTGGCAGCGATCATTAGCGTTTCGAGCGTCCGTCAGCGTCAATGACTAAAAAGTATAGATGTCGATCTAGCGAACGGCAGCGTCTACCAGCTTCCGCCAGCGACAGTACGTTATTGTGTAGTAGTACGGTGTGGTTGCACACGCCGCAATTTTATGACCCCTAATACAGCTGTCTGCTACCTAGTACTTCCCATACTCTACCAGGTCTCTGCTGCCCTGTTACTTATCTATACATTCTACTTCTTGTCACTGTTGTCTTTGCTGATGGACGATGTAGACGCTAGATCTATATTTCTACTTTCCCAGTGCCTAGAGACGCTGATAGTAGCTAGTGGACGCTGGTAGACGCTGCCGCTCGCAAGATTGATTACTATATTTTCCTAGTCGCTGACGCTGATGATAGCTCGAAATGCCGATAGTCGGTGGACACTTCCGCAAAGTAACACAACCTTAGCGGGATGTGTTTATACTTTGCAGAAGCGTCCACCAGCGGTGGAATGCAGCAGGACATGTACGTTTGGGATCCGCAACGGGAACCGTATTTGGTCGATATATGTTTGAAAGGAAGTCGTATTTGGGCATCGACTTTTTCTCTCATTGTTCACTTTTCCTTTCCGCGTACACTATTCCCTTTCCCCTAGTTGGCGGCGGCGTTATAGCTGATAGTTGATCACAAGTGTTTACCCCTCTCTCAAGTTTTTCAGGAAATTTAGTAAGGTGATTGGTCGGTTCTGAGAGTCGTCCCGGTGAAGAAAGTTCGGGGAAAGGTCGTATGTAGCAGAATTTTTTCTAAGGCTAAGATGTACCTGATTGAAGTAGGAGAATTGCACTAAGATGTACCTGATTGAAGTAGGAGAATTGCAATTGATCGATTCCCACCTAGTCCGCGCGTTCTCCTACTCCTATTTTCTTTTATTTAATATTTGGGTGTAGTTCAACATCCAAGGTGCGACATCGCGAAGTAGTAACGAGCATTCCCAACTAGTTGACTCGATATATCTCTAGCGTCAAATCGTGGGAAGAAAAACGGTTAACAGATTTTTGATTTTTGGAATAAGGCCCTGAGATGAACGGTTACAGGACTCGTGTCAACCGGACATGTTCTCTCTGCGAGGGGCCAGATGTATTTTTTTCATCCCGTCTAGTCTGGTCCAGCAGTTGAAGGGAGGCAAGAGAGGAGGAGAGAAGGAAAAGGGGGAAGAGAGAAGGAATAAGGGGAAGGAGGAAGAAAAAGAAAGGAGGGAGGCTTTGCGCGTACCAAGAGTCCTGAGACGGAGATGAACGGGCTGCCATGATCTAACTGGTTTAGATGAATATGCCATGATCCAACTAGCTAGGAATGCTGATACGCGCACAACTTCGCCACGTAGGATGTCCTGACGGGCGTGGAGCGTTACTTCCCAGTCTTGACGTCGCGCGGACTAGCAGAATATCCCTAGCTAATTGATTAGTCAGGCACAGCATAGAGAAAGATAGAGAGAGCGAATCGAATTGAGAAGCGCAGACGCAGAGAGTCGACTCGCCGCAACACTGCCACGCCGAGTGGGTTGGGTCCTGGAGTGAATGCCGCGTACATCACCCCGTTTGCAATACCTAATTTGCCGCACTCGCTGCGACTTGGAGGTGACGCTCCAGGATTCCTTAACTACTAATCCTGTTCTTCGTTATCGCAAAGTGTGGAAGCGGCCTATGTGATGTATTGATGTTATTGTTTTTCTATGATGTTTTTAGCGCCTTTACGACCATTTATAATTGCGCGTTCGGAGCAGCAGAAAGCCGTGTATGGTCTTGGATATCCCTCTATTCCCACTATGACTGTCGATGAATGGTACAACCAGCGATTTGGTAACGCTTCATCGACGTCACAGCAACAACAGCACCATCATCCAGGCGATAAGTATGTATTTCGACCGCTTTGCTTGCTTAGAGCGCCTTTAGACTTCGCGATTGCGCGATCCTGTAGAGCGATCCGATCGCGCGATCGCGAATTATGAACGCGCTCTTACGTCTCGCTACTACCTTAGTAGGAAAAAGCTCGCCTTTGAAGAGATGGCAACGTGGACCAGTCTGGAGAACTCGAGGGAGAGGAGGCCGAAGAGCGAGAAAGGGCGAGGTTGATGAGGTGGGATGACTACAAAGACGATCATCGACGAGGCTGGGGAAATACTCATAATAAGGGATGAGGATTCTTACATGTCTTTCATATTTTGTTTACGTTGTATTTATGAGAGAGTTACCTCTAACATTGCTTTGTACATTTGTGCAGTCGTTTGAGTGTTTTATGGAACCGATGCTGTAATATACATATGCTTTCTCGGCGGTTTTGTGTGATGTT